ATTCAGTTGAGTCTCTCGTGAAAACCAAACTGATTTGCAAATGAGTGTATTTCTCGAAAACTGTGTTATAGTTTATTCTATTAAGAGGAAGAAATAACGAGCAGATTCATCTAGTATGATTTGAATGTTTAAATATCCCCATGGTTTGAACAAAGGTAAAGTGACGAACACTGATGCTGGGTTAAAATAAGTCTCAAAAATGAACTACGCAGAGGAGATTTGTTAGTGAAATGAATAGTTGGAGACACAAACGATTAGTTGCCTGCTCCCCACATCGCATCTGATTGGATGCAGGGTGACTTGGTTTGCTGATTCGTGTCACCTGACCAAAGCAGACTCAGCGTTCGCAGGAGACACAAACGATTAGTTGCCTGCTCCCCCAAGTCGCATCTGATTGGTCTGCTGATCCGTGTCCCCTGACCAAAGCGGACTCAGCGTTCGCACGAATCGTTTTTGACAGCAGAGCACCGGATTCCGCAGACGTATAGCGACTGTGGGAAAAATCACAAGTCTCATAACTGGTGGACCACATGTTCGAATATCATACCGTCCGTAAGAACTTATTTTTGTCCTTCTTTCCTTGGGAAGTACCTCTGTGAACGCTACTGGAGCAGTGGGAAGCACTTAAATCCATACCTTATCACCCGAGCTTATTTTGATGAGATTTCCAACACAAGTGATAAGGTTGTAGGAGGCCACGGGACTTGTAGAATTTACATCCACCGAAATCCCCTTTGAAAAGTCTTCCACAAGTCCATACCAATACTGGGAGTCTCAAGGGAATAATTACCCCAGGACAGGAGGGAAACTGTTCGAACAAGATTGATGTAGACGGGAATTCTGCAAACAGTGTACATTGCACTCGACAGCTGACTATAGCCTCCACCAAAAAGAATATCATTGTAACCACCTTATCACATCCATTTCCAAAACCAGGCAGGCTTCTGGTTCCGGCAACTTCTCGTAGCCAACAAACCATCTTGTGAGCGAAAAAGAAACGTCTTTGCTGCCGTCAGACTGAGTGAGACTGGATTTATCATGCAAACACGTGGCAGATTGCTTTGCCATCTTTAGAAACGTGCTATGGATGGTAAGATACAATTGGTGATGTGGCGCCTGGGAGGACACACGCACTCTAAACCGAGTCGGCAGCGACCGTTTCGAAAGATGTCTGATGAGTAAACGTGTCGGCGGGTTCTAGTCTAGTTGGCATCCATCTTTAATCACCTCCTTTTTTCGTTAGACCAATCCCGATTCGTATTCTAATGGAAAAGGAGATAATCCACAAGTCGCGGAGCTTTCGACCCGAGAATTCGTTACTCGGGGGTCCAGTTAACAATAGTTTGTTGGACACCAACTGCCTAGGTGATGGACTGTGGAGCAATATCCTTCGCGGCTGATCAACCACTTGCATTCAAACGGACAGTGTTCGGTTGCTAAAAGGAAGACAGACGGTTACAATATCCTAAGGAGCTGATGATTCACAGCGGGGATAAAGCATCCGTGCAGTACTCTACAGCTCAGATAGGATCTTAATTGATGGCTCAAGACCTTCTGTACAATAGTGTGAGAGCGAATGAAGAATCAGTGGAGAACTTGGAGAATACGAATAACAAAATTTCAGTTCCATACCAAGTAACGTCAGCAAACGACTCGAAGAGAAATTCCACTCGGGAGCACGCGATCTGTTTTTCACTGCGAAACAAACCCAAATAACACAAGGCTGTTGCGGTTCGGAGGAAAGAAAACGATTGATCACTGAATGGATCAACCGTCGGTATTCGTCGTGAGATGGCAGCCGCGGGTGAAGCCTGGACATCGGATAATACTCTACTTGCATGTCTCATT